GGGGCCCGTGGAGGCCCCTGAAAGGGTTTAAAGGGGCTCCAAGAGTCCTAACAAGGTCTCAGGGGCCCTGTACTCAATTGTTAGTGCATGCAGAGCAGCAGCACCAGCAGCAGGTCCGCTGCACAGCAGCAGCAGCAGCAGCTGGCTGAAGTGGCTGTGTCTGCTGCTGCACTGCTGCAGGACCATTTAATTTGCTGCGACATCGACGGAGAGGCCCTAGCAGAGACCCACGCCCGCCTCTGTCCCTTATGCAGGGGCCCCCAGGGGGCCCCCATCTTTGGGGACCCCCCTGGGGGCCCCTCTGGGGGCCCCCCTGGGGGCCTCTCTGGGGGCGCCCCAGGGGGCCCCTCGGGGGGCCCCCCTGGGGTTGAGGGTTCAAAGATGTGGGGCCCCCAAGTTCACTTTGTGCAGGGCAACTTTCGGTTTCTAAAGGAGCTTCTCTCTTTGGCTTTGGGAACACAATTCGAAGGAATGGTTGATGGGTACTGCTGCTGCTGCTGCTGCTGCTGCTGTTTCTGCTGCTGTTGCTGCTGCTGCTGTTGCTGCTGCAGTTGCCGTTGATGCCGCTGACTCCCCTTTGGCTGCTGTTGTTTGGCGCTGCTTTGCGCTCCCTGCTGCTTGCTGCAGTGCCAGTATTCCCATTGCTGCGCCCGTGCTGCTGCTGCTGCTGCTGTTGCTGCTGTTGCTGCTGTTGCTGCTGCTGCTGCGGTATCTATATCTCAGCATCATTGCAGATTTAGGCGTCTCCTCGAGGCAGCTCGACGCAGCTCATCGGGGCTTCAGCCACCGCCTCGAGGGGCCCCTGCTGCTGCAGCTGTATCACCCCATACCTTCCAGCAGCAGCAGCAACAGCAGCAGCAGCAACAGCAGCAGGAACAGCAGCAGCAGCAGCATTGGTGTCTGCAGCAATTGCAGCCACGTGCACGTACACCGTAAGTCTGTGGAGGTGGCCCTGGCTCAGCCCTCGCCCACCCAGGTAAGAAATAGTTCATATAGTTCATTGTTGCCGCTTCTGTTGCTGCTGCTTTTGCCGCTGCTGTTTCTGCTCCTGCTGCTGCTACTGCTGCTGCCCCTGCTGCTGCGTCTTTTGCTGCTGGTGGTTGTGCTGTTGCTGCTACTGTACGGTGTGTTGACCTATATATCGCTGTGCAATCACCTGCTGCTTTTGTCGCGGTTGCTGCTGCTGCTGCTGCTGCTCTTGCACCTGCTGTTGCAGCTGCTGCAGCACGGCAGCGGCCCGCTGCTGCAGCGCGTGCTGTGGCAGCTGG